CTCTCCAACATCCCAAAGGGGTCCAGAATTGCGTGAAGGTGCAGGCCAGGCTGAGAGATCACATTGGTTTGGTGCATGATTAGAGCCAGGGAGGGACACGGGTGGGCTCTGGGGTGTGTCTGGCCTGTCTTGTGCAGTCCCAATCAGCTAGACCCCAGCAGCAAGCTAACCTACTGGTTGGAGTGTCTGTCTTGTGGTGGTCAGTGCATGTCATAGCAAGTGGTTGTTCGGTTGTTCCGCTGTTCGGTCTATTTGCATATTAGCCTTTCATTATATAGGATGGTCATGGTATGTTAGAGATTCCTGTTAACTTCTCAGACTTAGAATTGACTTATGTATTTGGTTTTTAATCTTTGTGGAGAGGATTATGTGATATTTTAAATACTTTTCTATGTGGTAGTACCATTCTAGAAATGCCATGTCTGTTTCTTTTTAGGTATGAGGCATGCCATATATGACAAGCTGGATGATGATGGTCTGATAGCTCCCGGGGTCCGAGTATCGGGAGATGATGTTATTATAGGCAAAACAGTCACCCTGCCTGAAAATGAAGATGAACTGGAGAGCACTAACAGACGCTATACCAAGAGAGACTGTAGCACTTTTCTCAGGACTAGTGAGACAGGCATTGTGGACCAGGTTATGGTAACTCTCAACCAGGAAGGATATAAATTTTGTAAAATAAGGGTGAGTATAGCTTTGTCATATTGCTATTTATGGAAAATAAACCAGATTGATTTAACTAACCTATGTTTATATGAATTCAGGTACGCTCTGTTAGAATTCCACAGATTGGAGACAAATTTGCCAGTCGACATGGTCAAAAGGGTACTTGTGGTATTCAGTATAGACAAGAGGTAGGTATTTTTTTTTATCTGCCTCACTCTTAACCCAGAGTTTTGTTGAACATTTTATAAATCAAATGATTTAACGTAAGAGTCTAAAGGTGATAAAGGCTTGACTTTTAATTTTAGTGTTGAATAAATATACGAGCATACTGTATTGAACAGAATTTAGGACACCGAAAAGTTCAGATAAGAGGGATCAGTTCTTGTTCCATAGCTAAGATATTTAAGATTTTTTTAAAAAATTCATTTATAGGATATGCCTTTCACCTGCGAAGGAATCACCCCTGATATCATCATAAATCCCCATGCCATCCCCTCTCGTATGACAATTGGTCACTTGATTGAATGTCTTCAAGGGAAGGTAAGAGGTTTTCTTTAACAATATGGGTTCCAAACGGATGTTCTTTCCAAAATTATCATAGGCGATTTCTCTTATATTTGACTCAGGGTACTTTGGAAAAAGCTAATGTGGCATAATCACAGCCAGTCACAAATTGTTAATGATTAATTATGCCTTTTTTCTTTTTGCAAAAATTTGCAGTTATGGCTAAGTCAGAATTTTTATAATATTTACTATATCAAAGCATATATAGATAGATAGATAGATAGATATATTAATATCTTGGTTACCCTTTTTTCTGGTTCTTTTCTATAGTTAAGAGTTAACTCATTGGTGGTTAGTTTGTTGAGAACTTAAATTTATAGCTATATTATTAGCTGTGTTTGCACTTTTCAGTAGAGGTTTTTCTATTTTTTAAGTATCTTGTTAGGGTAGAATGGCTGCAGCCTAACAAGTAGAGGACTTGGGTTTAGGGCATTAAAATGTATTTTCCTTGAGACATAGGAAGTGTTTAGGAGTCTCTCTCTCTTTTTTTTTAACTGTTCTCATGGATGGCTTCCTATTTGAAGAGTTATAATTGAGTTTTTATTTTTTAGGTAAACACTGTGTTAATAAACACTGTGTTAATAAAATGAACCTATTATAGCTTTCCATAACAGATTTTTTAAAGTTCAGAATGATTTTTTTAATGATCACATTTTTGATACAGCTTTCTAAGGGAAAATTGAAGGAAACAGCCTCTTAAAGATTACTTTTTTTGGTAAAGGTTTCAGCTAACAAGGGTGAAATTGGTGATGCCACTCCATTTAATGATGCTGTTAATGTGCAGAAGATTTCTAACCTTTTGTCTGATTATGGCTACCATCTCAGAGGAAATGAGGTATGTTGGTGCTTATGTATTTTTTAGTATGTGGGTAGTTTCATTATTTTTTTTTTTAACATATTTTTATTGATTTCAGAGAGGAAAAGAGAGGAGAGAGAGAGAAACATCAGTGATGAGAGAATCATTGACCGGCTGCCTCCTGCATGCCCCTTACTGGGAATCAAGCCTGCAACCCTGGCATAAAACCGTGACCTCCGGGTTCATAGGTTGACACTTAACCAGTTAGCCACACTGGCCAGGCCCTTATTTTTGTATGCTTACATTTTATTCCATTGAATGGCTGTATCAATGTAGTTTCATTTTTAAACAATTTAAACCTTTTATTAAACTTCAAATATGTGTACACATTATAAATGTATAGCTTGGTGAATTTTCACAAAGTGAACCAAGCTATACATTTAATTTTCAGGATGTGGATGGCCTCCACATCCTGAAAATTAAATGACCAGAACACTTTTATGCATAGATGCCCCCTCTTGTGTCTCCCTTCAGTAACTAGCTTCCCCACTCCACTCTATTGACATCTAACAGTGTAGATTATTTTTTCTGTTTTGATTTTTATATAGATGGAATCATACAGTATATGTCCATATATTCTTTGAACTTGTTCAATAATTTTAAGTTTATGCTTCAAAATCTGTTTCAGGTCTTGTACAATGGATTCACTGGTAGAAAAATCACATCACAAATTTTCATTGGCCCCACTTATTACCAGCGTTTGAAGCATATGGTGGATGATAAGATTCATTCTCGTGCTAGGGGGCCTATTCAGATCCTTAACAGACAGCCCATGGAGGGTAGATCCCGGTAAGAGAACTGCATCATTATCAGTGACGTAGTTCACATAGTAAAGGCAAGATAAATGTTTGTTTCTTCCCCTTTGTTTATCAGTTAATGAGTTGGTTATCTAGCATCCTTCAAAGTTGACCAGTGATTTGTTTTTCGGTAATAACATTAGAAACTCAACTGATTTCATGTTTTTGTGTATTAAGAATACTAAGGAAGCTATCACCATCCATCCACTGTTTGGTGATCTGAACAATTTGTATTTCACCCCCATGCTGGGAAAACCTTCCGTTCACTCCTTCTTTCCACTCCTTTTGCCACCAGCAGTTTATTATTTCAGGCTTGATTGCCTGGAGACTCATTCATTGAAAAGCTACTTTATTGAGATCAAATTTTGTTACTCATTTTTGAGTACAGAGTTGAATTCTATTAAGTTAAATGATAGCATGATGAGACTCAACTCTGTATTTCATTGTATTTTATGAGGAAAATTATATATATAAAAGGCTAATATGGCCGAAACCGGTTTGGCTCAGTGGATAGACCGTCGGCCTGTGGACTGAAAGGTCCGGGGTTTGATTCCGGTCAAGGGCATGTGCCTTGGTTGCGGGCACATCCCCAGTGGGGGGTGTGCAAGAGGCAGCTGATTGATGTCTCATCGATGTTTCTGGCTCTCTATCCCTCTCCCTTCTTCTCTGTAAAAAAATCAATAAAATGTATTTAAAAAAAAAAAAAAAAGGCTAATATGCAAAGTGCCCCCTCTGGAGTTCGATCAGAATAGGAGTTCATTCGCTTGCTATGATGTGTGCTGACCAGCAGGGGGCAGTGCAGACCATGGCAGGTGACCAGCAGTGATGGTGGGGTGCTGAGGGAGTAGAGGAAGGAGAAAGTGGGGGGAAACAGTGTTTGGGAGGCGTTCAGGTTGTGAGAGAAGGAGGCGGAGAAGCAGGGAACCTGATCGCCAGCCAGTCCTAAGGATGGTACCTGTGCACAAATTTTATAGTAGAAAATAATACAAAAAAATCTGTTTTTCTCTTAACAGGGATGGTGGCCTGCGTTTTGGAGAAATGGAACGAGACTGTCAGATTGCCCATGGGGCAGCCCAGTTTTTAAGGGAAAGACTGTTTGAGGCATCAGATCCATATCAGGTTCATGTTTGCAATCTTTGTGGAATAATGGCGATTGCTAACACCAGGACCCATACGTATGAATGCAGGGGCTGTCGGAATAAAACCCAGGTGCGTATAGACTTTCTGGCCAGTTGTTAACTGTTTAGGATATAACCATGTTGGGCTAATTACCCAAGCAGATTTAGTGTGATGGGACAGATTGGCACTTTCACAATTTTGAATAGCATGCCTCTGTAAGATTCCTAGTTTTAAATGAGAAAAAAATTTGTTTTTTCTAAAAATCAGTTTAAACTTTACTGTGTTAAAATCGCTAAACTGTTCATTTTTTCAGAAAAGGCCTGTACAAGAACTTTTTAAAAGTGGGTTTTTAGAAAGCCTTTTACTTAAGGAGGGTCGCTTATGTCTGGCAGAAAGGGTCAAATACCAAAGCCTATTAGGAGAAAGAATCACCTTGGGCCAAGTTAGTAGAATAAGTTTTATCAACCTCCCCATTTATTCATCATCTTCAGCACCAAGTCTTTACCTTTTTCTGGGGTAGGGAAGTAGGCTCATTTCAGTATAACTTTGCTAATTACATTTTTTCTCTTTGTTTCAGATTTCTTTGGTGCGAATGCCTTATGCATGCAAACTGTTGTTTCAGGAGCTTATGTCTATGAGTATTGCACCTCGAATGATGAGTGTTTAGCTCTTTCAAAAGATTCTCAAAAAGACCCTTATAAATGCCTTTTGTGTCTTATTTTTATGATACGGCTTTTAAAAATAACAAATATGTGTTCCATTGTGAGAAAATGCATTTTATTTGTTTTGTTTGATGATATGCATGCTTTTCTTCTGTAAATAGGTAATAAATTTTTGTAGATAGTCTTGATGTGTTATCTTTATGTAAAGTCGGTGAACATATTATAACTAAGGTGTTAGTGGACTGGATGAAAAGAAACTGGTTATTAGTCAAGAACAGGGTAGTAGTTATCCATGACTACATTTAGCTATGCAGACTAACATATTCTTCAGGTTTATAGCTTGGCACTTTCACCTGTTTAAAAAAAGAAAAAAATTAGTTACATATATATACATATAACATATATCTAATTTTTAGGTAGCTTAGTGTTTCCAAATAAATGATATTAAAATGTGAGGGATAAAGAATATGTAACTGTATAGATGACAGGTGGTGGAGTGCTCTTTAGAATTTGAACTATACAGTTTTAAATGTGGAAGACAATTTTGTTGTATTGGTCTAGGTGTAAGAATTGGACGTTTTTATATTGATTTCAGAATGGAAGTGAGAGGGAGAGAGAGAGGTAGAAACATCAATGATGAGATAGAATCATTGATCGGCTGCTTCCTGCACGCCCCCTACTGGGGATTGAGCCCGCAACCCAGTCATGTGCTCTTGACAGGAATCAAATCCCGGACCCTCCAGTCCACAGGCCGATGCTCTATTCACTGAGCCCAACCAGCCAGGGCAAGAGATGGACTTTATAGAACTGGCAGAGCACATTTCACAAACCAGCAAGTTGAAATCCAGAGAGGCTAAGGACCTTTCCTTTGTCATCCTGCTGTCATTCACAATTTAAAGTGGAATAATTAGGGGCAGAGCTGAGACTCAAACACATGACTCTTAGCTCTTATCTGTTTCATTTCCTGGTTTTACACATCTTGGCCAAAGAGAATCTGATCAAACATCTTGTATTTCTTCTTTTCATACCACAGATAGAGTGATCCACACAGATGAATGGTTTGACAAACGCTGATAATAATTTTTTTTCTTATTTTTGGCTTAAGGAACAGCCAATCCAGACAGCAGTCTAATTGAATTATATACATGTAAAGTAGTATCATTCTGATATTACTAGGATGGGTGCTTAAGAGGAAGCTTTGACATGAGAGTGGATAGAAGCAGAACAGATTTGGGTACTTGCCAGTATACTCTCCTCTCTGGCTTTTTAAAATAATGAGCTCAAAGGGAAGGACCCACAATCATTTCCTTTTTAATGGGAATTTAATATAATAGTCACAACACCAAGAAAAAATGCCATGTGGATAGATAGTCATGGGGAATGGAAGCCATCCCAGTCAAGTTTGAGTTTTTGTCTCATGTATAAGCTGAAAGCATCTGAGTCTACTGTAATAACAGCATTCCATCACTGGCCCGGATGTACTTCTGGAGCTGTGTGCTCTAATTTGATTATACACTTAACGCCTCTGTGGATTCCTGACATTACAGAATCTCATTAAGGGCTGTTGGATACTTTCTAACTTGATTCTGTTCTTCATTAAGCAAAAGCATTAGTCCTTAAGTGGCCTTGAGGTTAGTACCTACCTTTATTCACTGGTATTTCATGTAAGCTGTCGACCACTGTAATTTTTGCTGATGCTGAAGCTTGTCCTTGGGAGTTGGATGCATGGCACTCATATTCTCCAGCATCTTCCTTACTGAGTGGAGATAACTGTGAATGGAAAAGAACCTTTAGTGCCTCTGTGCTAGTCCTTTATCTCTAGTGGTCTCAACGGAGTCGTTTTATTTCCTAAGATGACTAGGGAATTCACAGCAAAGATACTGCTAGAAATAGTGCTAGTCTCGTCCTAGGAGAATTACACAACTACTGGATTTGGTCTGCTGGGGAGATGCTGAGGAAATGCTACTGACAACTTTTGGTCACGTTGCAGAGGTTAACAACTGGAGAGGTGCACGTGGCAGTTGGAGGAAGACCTTGATAGGGTGGGTGTATGATCTTGGTACTACACAGTGAGTATCTACAACTATCAAAGGTCAAGTAAAATAAGTATTAATCAGTAATTGATTAAAGTACTTAATGTGTGGGTCAGGTCTGTGAGAGTCTAATTCCAACAACGAGAGCCTTGCCATCTCCTGCTACTCACCAGCACCCAGCCCGTTACTTCATGCTTTTCTGGGCCACCTCGGGTCTGAATGGCCAGGTTGTCCCGGTCACCAGGCAAGAGTTCTGTCCTGTGAAATCTGTTATCGTCCTTTTTTACCTGCAAAAAAGAGAGAAATAGTCTGCATCCTCTGCCCTGAATCATCCACTTGGAAGTGGCGACATTTCTATAATGGCACAAGGAGTACATCAGACTTTTTGACTGGATTAAAATGAGCACTTTTCATATTACTTTTTCCTGAGCAGGTACATAAAATATAGATCCCCATTTCTTCCTGTCAGTTTCCCTCCCTATAATTTAAATGATATAACCTTTATGTATTAATGTATTTTTCTGCATGCTTGGGGAATATACATCATACTCCTGCCACTGGACACCATTGTTCACTCATGCCCTTAAGTCCTGCTTCTCTGTGCTGGGACTATTTTTGTTTGCCAAGACATGTTTGAGCCGAAACCGGTTTGGCTCAGTGGATAGAGCTTCAGCCTGCAGACTGAAGGGCCCCAGGTTCAATTTCAGTCAAGGGCATGTGCCTTGTTGCGGGCACATCCCTAGTGGGTGTGCAAGAGGCAGCTGATCCATGATTCTCATCGATGTTTCTAAGTCTATCTCTCTTCCTCTCTGTAAAAAATTAATATATTAAAAAAATATATAATATATAATATATTTTTTAAAAAGACGTGTTTGAATGGCAATGATATTACAATGCTAGGTAGGTTTGGTGCTTGGGATCTTTTGCAGGAGCCCAGGTGTCAGGGGTTCTTTTTGCAACAGTCTCATCAGTGAAAAACAGTAGGTTGAGTTAAATACAGAACCAAAAGATTGAGGGTTCGATTCCCAGTCAGGGCACATACCTATGTTTCAGGTTAACATCATAAGATAACTACTGATCAGGAAATCACAGACCACGCATCAGGCTGTGACCACCATGGAAGTGTTGCTGTCACCTGGTGTCTGCAGAGAGGTGTGTCTTGTTAGTTCAGGTGTTGCTGAGAGTCCGTGAGCATGAAAGACATGCCATCTCTGAACCTCCGTGTTCTAATGCTCACTTATACCCCCAAACCAGTTCTGTGCTTAGAGTGGAGTAGGACGTGGGAATGCATAGAAAGCCCGTATTCTCAGCAGTTTGGTTACAAGGACAGTGGGGAGAAAACATAAGTCCTGTTCAATTGTTGAAGTCATGACTTTTAAAGTGAATTGACATGGCTCTAAGTAAAATACATTTTGCATTGTGATGTGGAACATACAAAAGGAAGGTTTTAGGACATGATGCCTTTACTAAACATGACGCCTTAAGATATTTTCTGTCCTTTATTTTTAAGAAAATGCTGGCTGTGATTCCTGCATTACACTCAGAACTCGCTGGTGGTTCATGACCAGCAGGTTGAAACAGCTGCTTTATGCCACCCATGTGGCAAATTACACGCTGAAGGCAGAGGGAAATCAGCAGAGCCTAGCAGCTGCGTTTTTGCTTGTTTCTGGCAAGTTTGTAGAAAATTATTTTTTCCTGTCCCCCTCCCCCGAGTTGACAAGCCTTAAGGAAGCCCATGGGATCTGCCCCACACAATCCTGGGGAGCTTAAAGGAAAAGATTCCCCCGGCAGATGTATTCCCCTGGTATGTGTCCGTTAGCTGGGGAGGGGCAGAGAAAGGGCTGCAGAAATTATTTTGCCGGATTTGTCAATAGGTCACACGCCTTGGGTCACCCTGGCTTCCACTGTATAATCCCTAGAGCGCTGCAGAGCTTTGTATGGACATTCTTGGGAAATATTGTTCCTCTGCCTCCCCCACCCCAAACAAACCAGTAGCCTCCAAACAAGCAAGGAGGAACAGCAGCAGCTTTCGCCATGAAGGCCAGAAGGTACACGCCCATCAGCTGCATTTTTGCTCTTCATTGCTTCCCACTCCTCTTTTAAAAAAATAACTTACTGAGGTGAAATAAATTTCACTGCTTCCTTTGACAAGTTCCAGCTGCAAAAGATAGTTGTAATGCAGCTGGTGCTGTCTCTGCCCACCCCCAGGCATTTTCTGGAAAAAACGTTGACTTCATTCCCACCAGAGGGCCCGATGGGGGCGATACAGCTTTCTGGCCACATGGGGGCGTCAGAGGTTGGCAGGTGACCCAATGTGAATCAAGGTCCTCCAGGGGGAATTGTACAATGCAGTAGAAGGGAACAAATTTTCCTCTGGGATCACGAAGCCGTGATCATGTGAACTTGGCGCTCCAGTGACAATATCGCTCCCAGTGTGGAGGAAGCAAAGAATAAGACCAGAACATTGGGAGCAGAGTCCAGAGCCAAGAGGCTGGGCTCACTGTACCTGGATCCAGCTGCCCTTGAAGTTGGAGTCACCACCCACTCAACCTCCCCCCACCCACCACATTATTTTTGCCTAGACTAGTTTGAAATGAGTTCTACAACTTGCAACAAAAAGAGTTCTGGTGCCAAAATCTCTCCCAGCGTTCCAGGAACTGCTCCTCTGGTCAGACACCGAGCAAACAAAATAACCAAGGGACCATCATTCATCTTAGAACTTGCTGGAGAAGTAAACCTGCTACAAATAAGTGTCTGGTTACCCTTTTATACGGAAATAGATTTCCTTTTTGTTTGCACTAGTCTGATGAAATTTACTTAACAGGATTTTTCGTGGGGGAGGGGGCTGCTAAAAACAAGTCAAAATACACAAATAGGGAAATATAAAATACTGTGCAGTGCAATTGTTAAGTATTTGACCTTCTACAGACATGCTAAGAATATGTTGTCCTTCAAATCAGAAGATAGTTACACAAAAATAATACCACCTGAAGGGAAACATTTCCAGGAATAGTAACTAATAAGCAGTTCCAACGACATATATGACAAGCCAAGTGATCTTACCTGCCTTTCTTTATGTAATCTTTTCAAGAATTATAAACTACTTTCATGACACAGAGGAGGAAACAGAGGCTTAGGGCAGTGGCTCTCAATCTAGGTAATTTTCCCCCCTGGGGGGCATTTGGCAATGTCTGAAAACCTGTTTGTCACAACTGAGGGAGTGGGTGCTACTGGCATGTAATGGGCAGAGGCCAGGGATACTGCTAACCACCTTACAAGGCACAAGGCAGCCCCCACAGCACAGAATTATCTGTCTCAAAATATCAACAGTGCCTGAGGCTAAGAAACCCTGACTTAGAACTCAGCTGACCTGGCTAAGGAACTCACCCTCCAAGGAGCACCGCCCCCAGGCACGCACATGCTGACACGCATACTGAAGCACAGGCATGCTCACACATGCACACACCTGCACACCGAGGGTGAGTTTGGGCGTCCAGCATTATAGTTTCCCGGTTCCCGAGGCTCCCTGCTCCAGCACTGCTAACAAAAGCAGAGCAGGGGCTATTTGGAGGTCAGTAAAAATGTTGGTTTGAGCCCAGGGACGTTTCTAGAAGATTGCCATGGTTTCATGGAGGAGCAACAGGCAAAGGAACCAGCTGAGGGTTTTAGTGAGAGGAGCAGGTCAGTCCAGGGTGTGTTCTTAAAGTCTGTATCACTGACCTTGTTCCAGATGAGCACAGGGGTTGGGATTCCGATGACCTCACAGCTCAAGTACACCTTGGCACCAGTGACATTCCAGATGTTCTTGGGGGGAGTCACAATGGAAGGACCTACAAGAGAGGGCACAAAGCCAAATAAAATTTTTAAACAACCTTCAGTGTCAGCATGCTAGGAGATCAACACTTGATTATGTTCATGACGCTGTCCCCTCTGCGAATGATCTGAAGCACATTTCAAAGACCAGGCCGGCATCCCTTGGCCACCAGCATGACTGTAAGCGATGGTTTGAGAATGTGCACATCCAGACGAACACAAAAATAACTAGGAAGAAAATTCTATTGTTCATAAGATTTTCTACTCTCTCAAGTCATGCTTAAATGAACTTACCAGCTGTTTTGCATTACTGGGTCTTTCCAGTTAATCCAGTGAAAATTTAGTTCCAAAATGTTCCATGTTTTTCTTTCTTGTTTACCAGTATTTTTTTTTTTTTTTGGGGGGGGGATCGGCAACATAGACAATCTACAAAGATATTTGAAAATGTGCTGAGTACCCGGAGAAGATGGTAGGTGGTCCCTGCCTTATGAAGCTTGGGGTCTGAGTCAGTGGTGATAAGGCAGGGATGGTAACTCTCATCAAAGCGATCCACATGAGGTGCTGTGCACCCTGGGAGAAACTTCTGAACGGTAGTGGCCCAAGTGTTAAGGAAGAAGGTGGAAGGAGGAGGCAGTGGGTGAAAGGGAAGCGGTGACAGAGCTATTGTGTGTGACCAGGGCCCCCATGCAGAGGAATCTTTCTAGGATTCTCAGGTTCCAGGTCACTGGCAGCGGGCGTTGGCAAGTGGGGGCACCTGTGGAAAGCATTGTCTGATTTGAGTCCTGGGTATGGGACCACCCAGGGAGAGCCCAGAGTGACACTTCTTATCCCCTCGATCCTGGCACTTGCCCCTCGGCCTTCTCTATCATATCCCTGCCAGTAAGAAGGTCCTTAGCACCAACATCAATGTATGCATCCTTTTTGTGACAGAAGAGGTTTTGGGGTTGGCAAACTCTGGCCTGTGGACCAAATCTATCCTGTTACTTGTTTCTACATGGCTTGTGAGTGGTCTTTACAGCTTTACGTGGTTGGGAAAAAAGAAAAAGAAAAGAATCCTATTTAATAAAAGCATAATATGAAAATTAACCAAACAGCCAAAGAGCGGAACAACTATCCGGATGACCATGTGGGACCACGCTATGACACCCACTGGTACCAGGTCAGCCAAGGTGGGTGTGATGCGATTGGTTGGGGGCCTGGCCATCACCCCATGATCTCCCCAAAGAGGAAGGCCCAGACCACCAACCAGCGGGCTGCAGTGGGTAGGCGAGGCCTCTCTCTGCGCGGGAAGCCTGCGTCCCAGGTGCCAAAGGGAAGATGGTGCCAGCAGTCAGGGGAAGGAAGGCCTACTCTTGCACAAATTTCATGCATCGGGCTTTCATAATGTGAAAAAGTTAAGAAATTCATAGTTCATTGTCCATAATATCAAATGTTATTGGGCCCTGGCCTGTTTGGTTCAGTGGATAGAGCATTGGCCTGCGGACTGAAGGGTCCCATGTTCTATTCTGATTAAGGACACATTGCAGGCTCAATCCCCAGTTGGGGGCATGCAGCAGGCAGCCAACCAATAATTCTCTCTCATCACTGATGTTTCTGTCTCTCCCTTTTCCTTCCTCTAAAAATATATTTAAAAAAATGTTATTGGAATACAGCCATGCTCAGAGTGGAGTATTTGTGGCAAAGACTGTTTGGCTTAAAGTATTTACCATTTGGCTCTACACTGAAGACGTGCAATCCCTGCTCTAATCAACTGAGAGGCGACCAAACCTAGATAAGACATTACGGGAAAGTCTCAGGACTTCAATGTGTTACGTGTTACCCTGAGCAGATGCACATGAACTCTGTGGATGATTTCTGGTTCAGCTCTGAAATGCAACACCTTTCAATTTAAATTTATTTTTCATTGATTTTAGAAAGAGAAGAAGGTGTGTGTGTGTATTAGAAACAAGATTTATTGTTTTCCTTATTCATGCAGTCATTGATAGGTTCTCATATGTGCCCTAAGGGGGTTCGAACCCACAACCTTGGCACATTAGAACCACATTCTAATCAACTGAGCCCTCTGCCAGGGTGAAATGCAATGCTTTGGAAGCCAACAGACACTGAAAGATCTGACTTCCCTGCTCTTTTCTGCTGAGGTGCCAGCTCCGCAACATCTGCAGGAGAGACAGGCACACCTACTTTTTATCAGGTGGAACTTGGAATTTTCCTTCCTACTTTGAATGCCAGGTTTCAGGCCTCCAGTGCCCCAGAGAGTCCAGGGACAGTCCACAGAGGAGGGAGTGGAATTGGGGGCCTGGGCTCCGGGTCAGACAGCCACCACTCCAGGACCAAACCTATCAGGCTCAGTGCACTTCTCAAGTGAATGAGTTAAGAATTCCCTCCGAATGCCATGCCGGTGTGGCTCAATGGTTGAGCATCATCTTATAAACCAGGAGGTCAGGGTTTGATTCCCCGTCAGGGCATATGTCCGGATTGCAGGCTCAATCCCAAGTATGAGGTGCAGGAGGCAGCCAATCAATGATTCTCTCTCATCACCGATGTTTCTATCTCTCTGCCCCTCTCCCTTCCTCTCTGAAATAAAAAAAATAAAATAAAATAAAAAAATCACTCTGAACCTCAGCTCTCTGCCGCCTTGTGTCTTGCAGCCGAATGTCTAACGGCAGGGTCAGTGGGCCTCAGAGTCCTTAGGCCTGGAAAGTTTTCTGGCATCATCAGCGTTCAAGGGACACAAAGCCTCCCCTTTTGCAGCAGGCTATTTCCAGCACACCATTAATTTCTCGAAACAGAAAGGCAATGCTCCCAGCATGTAAGATTTTTCCCACTCATCTGAAGTATTAGAAGCTGATATTTTTTGTTAGCAATCCCTGGGGCATTTTTCTTCTCCTGCCTTCCCTTTGCAAGAATGTGCAAAACAATCAGAGTTTTGAAAGCCCAAAATATATTCCATGCTTCCTTCCCTCCGCACCATAGGCCTAAGGAGGAAGCCTCTATCCTGGCTCGGGGGTCTTGGCTTTTCTGTTGCAAATGTGGATGTGGTAGCCCGGTGGAGTGTGTTTATGTGTGTTTCTGGCTCTGTCTCCGATGCTTCCTCGTCTGAGGGCACCAACACAGGACCCTGCAAAGATCTGGGCCGGGCCTCACCCCACCCCAGGCTTCCTCCCGGGCCCTGGGACAGCAAGGCTTGGACACCAGAGGACCGGATCTGCTGGACTTTGAACTACTTTCGCTCACCTCTCTGAGGGCCCCATGTGGCTTTGTCCTCTTTTCCACACGAGGATTTAGCAGGATGACATCAAAGCTCAGGGGACTGTTCCGAGAAGGGACTGTTCCGAGAAGGGATTTGGAGGGCTTGGAACAAAGCTGCCTTTCACGTATCAGAGCCCCACGAGGATTGTAAGGCGTCTTCACTGGGAGGTCTCAGCCTCGCAGCAAAGCCTTGAGTTTAACCTGCGCGTCTCCCTCCAGTCAGGCAGTTAGTCACCTGTCTCCGTCCGGGCAGAGAGGGCACAGAGAAGCTTTCCTGCCTGATTTCCCGCCAGGGCATGCTATGGATTCTTCTCAGGGCATAAAATTAAAAAACTAAGATAGTCTTTGTTTTAATGTAGTCCAATTTATCATGTTTCTCTCTCTAGCCTCCTCCCCCCGCCCTCCCAAGTTTTTCACTTATGCTTTGTGTCCAGTTAAAGAAATTTTTGCCTAGCCCAAGTCCGGAGAGATCTCCTGTTTTTTCCTAGAAGCTTTATGGTTTCACCTTTCGCTTTAGGTTTGTGATCCATCTTGAATTAATTTTTGTGTGTGCTATGAAGCAGAGGTCTAGGTTCATGCACTTTCCCCAAAGGACATCCACTTGCCTTAGCATCATTTGCTGCAAAGACCATCCTTTTCCTAGTCTATGTAATAAAAGTTTAATACGCAAATTGGCCCTAATGGCGGAACGACCAGTCACTATGATGTGCACTGACCACCAGGAGGCAGATGCTCAATGCAGGAGCTGCCCCCTGGTGGTCAGTGCGCTCTCACAGGGGCAGTTCTGCTCAGCCACAAGCCTGGCTGACAGCTGCAAGCTCAGTGGCAATGGCAGGAGCCTCTCTTTCCTCCTCAGCAGCACTAAGGATGTCTGACTGCTGCTTAGACCCAATTCCCTGAGGAGTGAGTCTGCGGTGGCAGGTGGACATCCCCCAAGGGATCCTGGGCTGCGAGAGGGTACAGGCTGGGCTGAGGGACCTTCCCCCCTCCCCCAAATGCACAAATTTTCATGCACTGGGCCTCTAGTTGAATTATAATGGCACATTTGTAGTAAATCTGTTAACCATACATGAGTGAGTCTACTTCTGGAGTCTCCATTCTGTTCCACTGGTCTTGTGTCTATCCTTACACCAACAATCATAGTATAAATTTAGAATGAATTGTATTAAAACTGAAGCACTGAATAGAAGGGATCCATTGTATTCACCTCTTTCTCATCTCTTTTTTATTTCAGGAATTTGAACATTTAAGGAGGAGCAAGAAGTATTTTAAAATATTTAAACTCAGGGATAGGTTTTTCTTCTTTTTTTAAAGAATAGTTTATTGATTTTCTTTTTTTTTCTTTTTTTTTTTTTAGAGAGAGAGAGGAAGGGAGAAGAGAGGAACATCAATGTGAGAGTGCAATGTTGATAGGCTGCCTCCTGCATGTCTCTACTGAGATCCAGCCCAAAATCAGGGCATGTGCCCTGACCAGGAGTTGAACCAATAACCTCTTGGTGCATCAGACAATACCCAACCAACTGAGCCACACCAGCCAGGGCAAACCCACAAATACTTTCAATGAGAGCCATCACCAGGGATTCAAGATTAGGACAAATTATACTATGGCTTCCTCCTCTCTCCCAACCTCTGGAATACATATAACACTATAGGTTAATGGGCTGAGTCAATATTTGGTCCATTCTAAAGTCATAAATGAGTCTGTCAATTCTGCTACCAGGCTATCCCTAGAATTCTATAAAACTTCTAATAACAAAAGTCTGTATGG